CCAGAAGTGGCACTGTGGCTCAAGTGGTAGAGCGCTAGCCTTGAGCTGAAGAGCTGAGGGACAGCGCCCAGGCCCAGAGTTCAAGCCCCATGACCGACCGAAAAAAAAAAAATCTGGCAGACCCAGGAGGCTCAGGGTTCCACTGCGATCCGGTGGGCGCTGCTGAGAACCAGTGCGTCTGTGCGCTGTTCACCAGGACTGAGCAGCGCACACCGGCTAGGGGAGCGCTCCACCCTGAATGGAAGCTGGCGGAACGGCCTCCACTCTCTAAGAAGGACCCATTCTGCAGATCCTGCCTGCCTCCCTGTGCCCGCCCCTCAGGACACCCCTAGACCTCACCTGCTTTCCAGCCCCCTACCTTCCTTCACTGCCCCCAGAGAGGCCTCCTTCACAGAGGCCAGGCTCTCTGTGTCCCAGAGGGAGGGGCACCCCTCAGCTAGCTGGACGCCAGCGCCTAGCCCTTATCCTCTGTGCAGCCTTGGGTAACTTACAGTACCTCTCTGAGCCAGGTTGCTTTGAAGCTCCACGGCTGTCACATGCTGCGGCTAAGGCAGGTGCCCAGAGCCTGGGTGTGGAGTGAGCCCTGACCCGTGAGTGCCCCTCACCACAGCCCCCGGCGGCTGACAGTCCCGCCGGTGGGAGGGGTCCCTCCTCTCCAGATAAGCTCAAGTGGCAGGGCCAGAAGGCCTTTTCCAGGGGGACCCCCAAGCCCAGGTCAGAGCCTGGGACCCCCTCAAGGCTGACACAGACCCTGCAGTGAGGACGATCTCGGTGGGTGGGCCACGGAGGGTCACACTGTCCTTGCACAGATAAGGCTCCGCGGTGGGGTTGGGGACCATCCGGCCCTCAGTGCTGGGGTCTGTGTGCAGCCCCCGGGGTTAGACTGAATCTGGCTCTCTGGGCAGCAACCTGAGCCCTGCCCTGCGCTGCCCTGCACTGCCCTCAGCTGGACTGAGCCAGTATCCTGCCCTTCCAGGGCTCAGAGTGAAGGCCCCAAGAATATCCGCCCAGGCTGCCTGCCTTCTCCTCGGCCCCTCCCTGGTAGCAGGCACCCCTCGGGCGGGGGCTGAGGGGCACTGCTGCTGCTTCTACTCAAGCGGAGGCTGTGGGTCTGTCTACCTGATTGTGCCTCTCCCTGCAGGGTGACTGCCTGGCCAGCTCCACCGAAGTGACTCCCCAGCCTTCTTCTGCCTGGGCCGCCCAGCGCGGGGTAAATGGTCCGAGCGCATTACACGTCTGTGGTGCACCTACTGTGTACCCAGCACGGTGCGGTTCTGCCTGGGCTGTGTACACACCTGTGCTCAGGCGCATGCCTGGGGATCCCATCTGCATGCACACCCTGCGTGCATGTGCACACATGCGCGGAGGAATGAGGCTGCGCTGCAGCTCAAGTAACAAGGCCCTGCAACCAGACTCCTCCAGGACAGGTCGGCCGCACAGCCTCCGGCCTGGGGCAGGGGCCGAGCAGGCCGCCTCAGTACCGCCTGCCATCAACCCAGTGCCCCGGCCTGGTGCGCAGCTGTGAACCTGCACCCTCCAAGCCCTGCTCCACAAGGAGCTGGGCTGGGGGAGGTCAGGACGGCCTGTGTGGCCACCAGCTCATTCCTGCGTCTTAGAGCCCTTCAGTGGACTGTGGAAACTTCCAGAGGCCACCATACCAGGCCAGGCCTTGTGGCTCTGTGGCCAGGCCCCTGCCCAGGAAGCCCCCTGAGCCTGCCTCCTTTGCTTGTCCCTGGGACCAGGAATTGCAGAACAGGTGGCAGTGAGTCTCTCATGCCACGCAGCGGGTAGGTGGCCAGCCCTCCCCTGCCTCCTACCTCCAGCCTCCTACCTCCAGCCTTCCGCCTCCAGCCTCCCCCCTCCCTGACAGAGCCAGGAGCTGAGCACTCCCGTCCCCAAGGTGACCCCTCGCCCCTTCTTCAGCAGCCCTGCCGGGAGTCTGTGGGTACTCACCGGGCCCTCCACCCGCCTGGACTCCGGGGCCTGGGTCCGAGCTCCCCACCCAGGAGAGATAGGAGTGAGCACTGTGTGAACTTGTGAGGCAGCAAGGCGGGATGTTTGGCCAAACCCGCTCAACGGGTTTCCCATTCTCCCAGGCAGGAGTGGAAAGGAGGCAGGGGCTGCCCAAAGCCGTCCTACAGGTTCGGCCATCTCCTGAAAAGTGGCCGAACCAGCCGGGCCTGAGCCACATAGAGGTGATTGTTTCCCCGGAATCCGCACGGCCGGCTCTGGCAGCACAAGCAACGGCCCACGGGGAGCATCTGACTGGGCTGGACGGCAGGGCTGGCCCCGAGGGCAGTGGGGTGGGTGGAGGGGAGCCGGGAGCAGAGCCGGGCACAGGCTCTGGCCGGAGCAACCCCTAGACTGATTCTGGGCAGGTGAAGC